ACATCCCTCACAGGATGCTGTTTTGTGGCAATCAACCAAACAGCCCGTGGGAAGCGATTTTTGCCCTTTTTGTTTGGGCCTGGCTTGGGGTGGGCTTTCCTTGAGATACTCGACGTAGTCACAACCTACAACTTACAACCCTACAAATAAAGTCGTAACCACCTCACGAAGCCGTTAAAGTCCAAAACAGTGCGTGAACCCCACAAGCTCCGAAACTCATACCCACTTGATCTGGATCTCTCTGGCAGGGCTCCGGCTGTGAAGCTCCTGAGCCAGCACGGCCAAGACTTGGACCTGGGTGCTTTTTTCGGCCGATTCTTGCCGAATCGCGGCGTTGGGGTGGCAAGCCTTTGTGGGGAGTCCTGTTCTGGATTTCGAGCCGGTAGTTTTGGGATGCCGGCTGGTAAATATTACATACATACGTACGTACGTACGTACGTACGTACGTACGTACGTACGTACGTACGTTCGTGCATACATACATACATACATACATACATACATACATACAGCACATACATCCATGCATATATGCATACGCACATGCATACATACATGCATACGTATGTACACACATACTTACTTACTGGCCTCATAGTACATATGCATGCATACACATTTTTCTCCAGGGCTCTTCCTATGGAAGTAGATATGACGGTGCTAAATGCACAGCTGTTGCGAGTCCACGTTTCCATTCATAGTTCAAGGGTTCAAGGTACCAAGAGCCCCAATCTAGTCCGAGCCCAAAAATATCTTGCGAACATGCTTTTCTGTAAAGCCAGGCGTGGAGAGGAGCTGCACGAAGTGCAAGCTGTATCAGCTTCAGCGGTCGAGGGCTGAGGCCCCGAGCATGGGCGGAACTGTCGATGGTCACTGATAAGCAGAGCCCAGCCAACAATGCCCCCTCCTGGGCAGAAGTGGAGAAGAGATTTAGACTCGAAGAAAGAAGAAAAAGAGAGAGACACAGAGAGAGAGAGAGAGAGCGAGAGAGAGAGAGAGAGAGAAAGAAAGACCGAGAGCGAAGCGAGAGCGAGACACTCCCATTGTCTCCATACGTCTCGGGCAAACATCAGAGAATTCTGATTTCGAAACCCTCAGGGAGCCCTGCCAGGTGTCGCCAAACCGACACAACGGAGGACTGCCAATCTCAGCGAGGCTTTGGCTTTGCTCCAAGTGGGCCACAGAGAGACCAGAGCTGACTAGGGGCTTTGGCCGCACGTTTAGGATCAAATGCAAAAGCGCTAGGCCATGACCGCCTTATTGTGTATAACCTTCAAATTGTAACAACGAACCTACGCTGCAATTCCAAAAACAGAAGCTGTTGGAGGCCTATTGGTACCACTATAGCTTTCGGGGTAATACAGTGGCACCAACACCTTGGCTACGGCAATGCTGCGGATGACTGCGCTTGAAAACCCGTCCGCGACCCTGACTCCTCTGAGTTCGTGCCAGAGCCCTGAGCTGCCCACTCACAACGATCTTCTCCTCACAGCTTACAATCCAAGCTGGCGAACTGAAGAGTTGAGCCATGTTCTACTCTGGGCCTTGCAGGGAGGTCTAGGAGTCTAGGATTCTTGTCATGGACGGATGTATTTTCAGATGCATCCCCCAACTTACGGGAAATTACGGCTCGAGACACTTACCGGAAATTACGGCTCGAGACTTCGGCATGTCAAGGGCGTGTCCCCAGAGTCAGCTGGGCTCTCCCAGCAGCGGTCTACGAGCACTGACTTTGATGTGCCTGGTCTGATCATGGCATTTGTCGTCACCCCTAGGAAGTACTATTACAGCCCAGAGAAGTGCGAAGCGAAGCGGTTCCTGGACGACCCCGAGAGATCGAGCAATCGTGGCCGCCGCCTGCGCTCAAGTCTATGGTGGTGCGTGCGTTCAACAGGGAGCCCCGATGGTTTGTGCTTCCATTCCAAATCCTTGTCTATTCTGGACACCAGCTTGGACCATAGGACAATGCAACGCATACGGGCTAGTGAGTGAGGCAGCTCCGGGACCGAGGAAAAGAGTTTGACGGTGATTGCTGCTTGCCACTGCTTGCAGGCCAAGGGGACGGGACCTTTTCACGTCACAGTTTAGGGAACGAGAAAAATGCCCGCCGAAATCATTGGAACTGCAACGACAGCCGAAAGCTCCTTCCAGTGTCGAGTTCCGAATCCTAACAAGCCTACTACGGTTCTATGCAGCATGTCCCATCAGATACATGCTTACCAGTATGGCATCATTACTTCTGCTGCGCGTGTGCGGAAGGGTAATTATGTAGATAACTATCGCCAGAACTTTCTGCGGCAATGATGACACTTGCAAAGAATTGCACACCCTGATTCATTGCCAGGGCTTTGTGGTGTCGGGGAAATCTGCACGTGGTCTTCCACCACGGTCCTGAAATGAGTAAGTACCAATAGCGAGCTACTCGGCAACTCTGCACTTGGTACAGGTACTAGTACCTTAGAAGATCTTAGAGACAGATTAAGTTCTTGGGCAGTTCTCCCAAGAATCCTCGGAGCGTGCATCGACGCCAGGGTTCGTGGACAAGACCTCCCAACAGGGAAGTGTCGGCAGCGAATTCTGTGGGCTGCAAAAACAGCCATGGTCCCCCGTCAGTGGGCTTCGGGGTTGCGTACTTGAACGAGCTCAGGCCGAAATGGTCAAAACGACGGTGCCATTTAGCAAGGCAGGCCTCGGACTTAGCGAGACAGCCAAGCAGGTCGGTGCAGAGTTTAGACATCCCAGAATTCAGAGCCCGGCCCCTCGCGCTGTTGCGAAGGCGTTGGCCATGACGAGCCTTGCAGTGCCCAGTTCTGCGCGGCGCTGCGCAGCAAGCGTGGCACTGGTCATATATTGCGAGGGACAGAAACATCGCTTGAAACGGTGCGCTTGCATACAGCACAGCGCAGCAAGGTGCTGCAGAACCATACCTTTGCCGGTAACCAACAAGCATCGAGAACAGTCTTAGAGTATTGAACTGACGCCTACGAACCTAGTGAGTACTTGCATGTAGACGAAGACAGGCGTACACATAGTAAGAGTTAAGTGGAGTATGACATTGCCTTCTATCGTAGGACAAGGGACATGAGTGCACAGACATGTAAAGGTAAGGGAGGGAAGAGACGACAAGAGAGACACAAAGAGGAAAGAGGAAAAAGGGAGAGACGGAGAGAGAGACAGAAACAGAGCGGGGAGGGAGCAGAGAGGCGCAACGCCCGATCGTGGTATGTACGTGCATGTATGCACGCAATTAGTCCGTGCCCATTAGATTAGGACGAAAGCAAGTATGCGCGACGAAACTCTGACGGCATGCTGCCTACTATGTCGACGGTGGCAAAGTCCATGCAAGCTGGTATGCAAACTAATTCGGGTATCCAAAGTTTCGCCAACAGGGATTCGAGTCCCAGCTCAGGTTCAGGCTGCCCACGGTCCGTCTGCGGATCCCAGTACATGCGGCCTCCGATTCGAGGATGCTCAATGACAAGCAGACGTTTGAGAAAACAAGTCATAGAAGACACAGCAGTACCGCAGCATGACACCCAACGCTGCAGCAGTGCTAGCAATGATCGAAACATCTTGAACATCCTCACAGCTCATGGTCACATTGCCAGGGCATGACACTTTGCTACGATCACCCTTGGGCTCGAAGTCAGCCTGTCGTCCCCCAAACATGACAAGCCCGACATCGCCTGCAGGGCCGAAGGCGCCCACGTATTGCCACGCGTAGTCTGACCAAGCAGAGTGTTCGGAGCGAGGGGGATCAGGGGCTCTGTGCAGTTCGGGTGGGCGGAGGGGGGGCGTTTTCAAGTTCAGAGCAGGATCTCCCCAAAAGTTACAGAGGTCTCAGGAGGGAGGTGGCCAGGGCTGTTCTACCGTCATCAACTTGTGGCCCACCCCTCTCATCACTGGTCCTTGGGTTAAAAGGCCCGGATGCACCAGACAAGAATTGACTATCACAACGCAGCGCACTGAACAGATTGCTTTTTAGGAGTGACAGCGCAGTCGGCTCGAGGACAATGGCTCGAAATTGCATTGCCGGCGTTGTTGACGGCCACAGCGCTACGGCCTTGGCAAGATGGACAATGACCATCATCGCAAGATGAGTCATCTACAAACAACGACTACGACTGTCATCACAAAGGCTAGGTCAACCAAGAACAACGGTGACGGCAACTAGCATCGTAGTCGTGAGTCCTGGCATGAAGAATCACATGGTCAATCCTTGCAAGTCCGGCTGGCCTTCGTGCTGCAACAACTTCATAAACCTGGGGCTAACGCGGGGCGATGCCGCAGAGATGGTCATCTTCGCAGAAGTCGGCTCCGGATGGATTGCCAGCGAACTTGATGGTGCACTGAATGCCTTCAGTGGTGAGTGGGCGACCAAAAAAGACCCAAACACAGACTTGGTGGCTTCAGATACTCCGGCATCGGGCTCCGAAGGCCTAGGTCGCCGTAGCAGAAATCAGAGCAAAAAGCAGTGGCTAGAATACAGACCGATATTTCGGCGCTGAATGCAACTCGTCCAACCAGCAGCAAGCACGACCTTGAAAGAGCAACAAACATGCTATGCGAAACCGCCGTGGTTGGACAGTGGCTAGATTCAGATGGCGCGTGTATTTGCTAGCAGCCATTGTCGCAGCGGAGATCCTAGCGTTATCGCAGTCGTCGTCGCCGTCGTCGTAGTGGTAGTTGTTGCTGTTGCTGTTGTAGTAGTCGTCGTCGTGGTCGTCTTCGATATCGTAGTCGTCGTCGTAGTCGTAGTGGTAGTCGCAGTCGTAGTCGTAGTCGTAGTGGCAGTAGCAGCAGTAGTAGTAGTAGTAGTAGTAGTAGTAGTAATAGTAGGAGTAGCAGTAGTAGCAGTAGTAGCAGTAGTAGCAGTAGTAGCAGTAGTAGCAGTAGTAGTCGTCGTCGTAGTAGTAGTCGTAGTGATAGTAGTGGTAGCAGTAGTACTAGTTGTTGTTGTTGTTGTGGAAAAAGTAGACAGAATGCAAATGGCTCCCTGCCTTCTCCAGTCCAGCGCGTGCTTGCGCTATGACTGTAGCCTGACATCAACAGTCTGTCCCTAAACCCTAAACCTGTAAAGCGTCTGTGAGTGCTTAGAATTTAGACTGTATGGCCATGGTCGCAGGCCTTTGGAGGTCCTGAATGGCTGCTGGGGGTTGCTAAAACTAGTGTTTAGGGCGCTTAGGCGTAACCTAATACAGGGGCCTTAATAATCAGAATTGGGTTTTGGGGCCCACTATACTAAATTTATAATAAGGAACCCCCACAAATCGTATGGGTAGTTCTTAAGGCCTCTACAGTGACCTCGTTAAACCTGCATTAAGGGTCTAGAAGCGAAGTCGAGGGTTTCTCGACTACGGCTAGGGCGCAGGCAGCGCCGTTGCAGACAGAGAGACCAACATGCTGAGACGGCATTCCGTACTTTAGGGCCTTAATAATTAGAATTGGGTTTTGGGGCCCACTATACTATACTTACAATGGGCAACTGCCAAAACAGTATAAGCAATAAACCCTAAACCCTAAACCCCAAAATAGTATTGGTAATTATTTAGGTCCCTATATTACGGACCCTGATGACCACCCATTCAGGGTGAAGCTGCCTTTGGCTGCACCGGTCGCTCGTGGGTCCTGTCAAGCTAGAAGCTTGCACAACTTAGGGTTTAGGGTTTACATGGCCGTAATGGTCATCACACAAGACTGCATTGATGAACATGGCAGTCACAATTCGCACAAGATGGCGCTGCTGACCCTAACAAGAGTCGGCAGCACACGATTCAAGATCTGATGTGCAATGATGAAGTTTTCGAGTGCGTCCCATTAGTAAAGCGTCCGTGCCCGCATCTTTGATAGCATCCTTCTTCGACCATCCTAAACTTGCACTAATTGCTGCTGGTGCGTTTTTTTTGGCAAGGATCCCGCATGCAAGTGGCCTTCCCCGTTTGGCCACCAAAGCAAAGCTCCGCGCCGGCTTCGGCGCATCCTCCTTGACGGACGCCAGGATCTGCAAAAGCCCTGCCACAGTGTTTCGGGCTTCTCGGTTTTGGGCTTCAGGCTGACAAAGTTTCTTGGGCGCTAGCGAATTCAAGCTTGAACTCTTGTGTGCGGATCCCAGGTCTAGGGGATGGGGCAGATTTTCAGTTCAAGCCGGTGAACTAAACCCTAAACCCGTTAAACCAAAGTTGGGTGCTTGGATGCTCGAGTGTCAAGCCTCTTAAGTTCCTTCGCTTCACTTTACGAGACGAGGGTTTAGGGTTCAGGGAGTATAGGGTTCGAGGTTAGGACAGGCATGTCAGGGGGGGGTTCGACGCTGGAGTGCAAGGAGGTCGATACTGCAAGTCGTGAGCCGTTTCCACTCATCAAACACGTGCATGCAGGCACCCAGACAAGAGGACTCCTGCAGACATTGACAGATTATCCCAAACTCAAGCATGCCTGCCTAGTTCGACCTTGTTCTTGTTTTGGTAAGACTGCACACCTTCTCTGCTCTTCAAGCACGCTTTGACCTTCTCAATTCAGACCTTCTTTTGCACCATGCCTGCTGGTGCACCTCGTTGTGACTGCGCTCAAACTCGGTCCACGTGCCAACCCTGCTACTGCACCCAGTTGGCATTCAGCCGCTCAAACAAAAAGCAATCGGACCTGCATGCGGCACCCTGGCCGGCCGAAGCAGTGACTTCGAGATCTTGACCTGTCGGTTTGCTCGTGCACAGCGCATGAATCAAAGATAAACGCAAGCAACCACACGTCCAAACAGAAGAACGTATAACTCCAGCTGTGTCCTGGTCGCAGTGCCAACCGAAACTCCGCTCCAATACCGCTTTCTGCTGGACGAAACTATTGCAAGGACGACTGAAAGTGTGGGCATACTGCTTCTTGCTATGCGTGCCATGCATTGCATGTTTGCTCCCACCATTGCTGAAGATACCAAGATCGCGGGGAAGGATTCTGCAGCGGATGCTGCAGGGTAGCTTGATTGGGCTCTGACCAAGATCACGGGCTGCTAGTTTCCAGTCACACACACAGCAAGCGCGCAGGGCACTTAATGTTTGCACGCGCACTGATGCGCGGTCCGTGGCTTCAAGTGGAATCTCGAGTGACACCTAAAAAGGGGCCCCTTGGTCTCCAACAGCTGCGAATGTACATGAGTTGCACGATCAGCTGAGACTACGATACAAACAGGCTTCACCGATTACGAATGTTGCATCAACCCCAAAAGAAGTCAGCTGATCGGTTGGAGCCAGGGCCTCGTCGATCGTGGTGATCGCACTCTTGCCAGATTTCTTATTCTTTCTAGCAGAAGCAAACTGTGGATCAAAACGAATGCACCAACGGCCTGAGCGTAACAGCTTGAGGAGGCCTACCCTACAGTCTGAGCGTTTCTTAGTCAAACCGTCTCCGAGGTCGAAGTCAGACGCGACCCACCTCAGTTCTCCAGCAGACCGCTTGAGATTTGCTCGTAGTTGATAGGCCTGAAGAGCAGCTCGCATGTTGCTCAGACCTAACAGCGGCGACTCATTGAGTTCGACGGCGTCATAGCCGCCACGGCTGTCAGTGCACACGATCCCCTTGATGCCGTGGATCTGTCTCTCTTGCTCCTCGATGAGGTTCACTCTCGTTGAGGTGCTGGTAGTAGCTCCTCCGGCACCGTGCAGTTCGCTCCATAACAACCGAGTCCGGAAGTTATGATCTTCGGACTCCAACATGGCTTGCACTTCTGCGTCATTCGAACTGATGGCCTTTCGTTGTAGTTTCCACGTTCGCCAGGCCAAAATGTTCATGGTGCATACATCACCTCGTGCACTTTCAGGACCAGCCATGAGCGTCACCATGCCACCCGTGCTGTCGCCCTTGGGTCGGTTGGCATGTGCCTGATCACCCATAGTGATGATGACGAGCTCGGACCAATGTCTCGCAGTAGGTAGGCGAGTAAACTTCAGGGACATAGGTTCCTTCCGAACTTCACCAATCACCTCCTGAATTTCACGCCCGATTTCCAAGGTTCCTCGGGTGACCAAGTCGGTCAAAAGAAGGTTGCATCTTGCGCAAATTTGGGGTTGCGTCTGGATGGCGACCCACTGCAGAGCACCAAGCGCGGTGCGGCAGGCTGCAACTTCAGACTTTGTCATCATGCCTTGTTCGCTCAGTCGGTCGGGCGAGACGTCGAGGTCGGGGATGCCGTCAATGTAGTAGTCCTGGTTGACGGTGATCTGCATGTAGCCTTGGCCATCTGGGGTGGTGGTCACATCCGTTCCGGCATGGCGGTAATTGCCGGTCTTGGACATTCCCCAGTTGTAGGCACGATTTACCTTGGCCTTGACAGCCAACCATTCCGGCGTATCGTCACCAATTCGGTGGAAGTCATCAACGTGACCACCCATGGCACCAATCACTTGAGGAAACTCGCGGGCACCGAGGTTGTCGGTCTTCTGTTCAGATTTCCATATCCACAAGCAACGTTCACCTTGTACAGCATGTGCACCTAGTGACGTCAGGGTCTTGTGGAGGTCTAGCCATAGGCCTCTGGGTGCCGTCGTACTTCCGTAAATGTTCCTGAGGATTCTCATGATGCCACCCTCGTCCACACCAAGGGCTTCTCGAAGTTCACGAACACCTGTCGTCCAGATCTCCTTGTCAGCTTCCGTGGCCTGAGTCTGGAGGAAAGCGGTTGCCAAGTCGAGTCCTTCCAAGTTCCATTGGTGAAACGCCGCCATGCTGTAGAGCAAGTTCCTCCCAAGGGAAGATTGGACGGGAGAGGCTGTCTTGAAGGTAGGATCCAAGAGGCTTGGATGTTCAAAGCCAAGCAGGACTATCCGGGCCTTAGCCTTTTTGCTCCCATCCTTGGTGTAGACTGACTTTGGATTTTCGGCAGCATCCTTTCGTGCTTCAGTAAGCTCCTCCTGAGGCGTAGGCTTCCACGTCAGCACCCATCGGGAGCGGACAATTCGCCGACTCTCAAAGGCCTTGTTGATCTCCTTGTCGTCCAAGCACTTTCTCACAGCCTCATGCTTGAGAAATGAGTCTACTTCTTTAGTCTTGGCCCGTGAGAACAACTCCTTCTCCGCAGCCGAAATCCTTGACAGGGAAACTTCAGAGTCACGCATCTTCTTCACCATGTAGAGAACAGGGTGTCGTTCAAGTAGCTTCCGCTGGCGGTTTGATGTCGGGGCACTTACGTCGAACTCAATCTTCATGCACTCGTCAGCTTCCATGAAGGCACTGTACACATCCATGGACTGTGCCTCTTGAGCAGCTTCCACATGCAAATCGTTCACCCAATCATCGACCTTCTGGCGTTTGGCTTCCCCATGAGAGTAGTCGTTTACATCTTCATCTGTTGTGGGACCAGGTAGAACGGGAGAACCAGATGCCAAAGAGGTGCCTGAAGTGCCTTGTTCTGGTAGAACGGGAGAACCAGATGCCAAAGAGGTGCTTGGAGTGCCTCGTTCTGGTAAAGGCTGCACTGGATCACTGGAGCCTGTGGAGTCGGGTGTACTCGTAGTGAACCGCACATTGAGGTTGGTCTTCTTCACCACACGTCGTCGAGGAATGACCATGGTAGTAGGATCCGGCGCTGGTGGTAGATCAGGTAGTTCTCGTTCATCTTCAAGAGGTGTCTGATCTGCCAAATCCATGTACTCTCTTTTGGGCAGGACGTCTGCGAGAGTCTTCCAGGACGTGTAGTCCTCGGTTTTGCCCGTTTCAAACTGAAACCTCTCAGATTCAGTCACTGGTCGAACAGAGTGAACAGAGCACCGAAAAAGCTGAGATCCCACCAACACCCACACAATGTGTCGTCGATCATCATCGGCATCTTGATGATGTAGTACTTCGCTGAACACCACCCGGCCTGGTCCTATCCAATGAGGCCGCCCTGATTTCTTCAGACCGCCACGGGGTCCTTGAAATTGTTCCTTGGGCCACACCTTTCGCCAAACCTTGACGAGGTCCATCGGCTGGTAGGTTCGTAGTGGTTGTCGTACAGTAGTGTTTCCAAGCTTTGACAGAACCCGTCGGGCTCTGGATTCCCTCGCAACTGTCTCTGCGCGCTCTCGCGCAGCCACCAACCGAATGAAGTCGTCCTTGAGGTCGGCAAGTGCGTAGGTCCGCACATCCTCGTCCGTGAGTGAGTAGTCTTGGCCGAAGGCCCACTGGAAAGCAGAGTAGCCAGCCGTGTACTCAGTGGAGTTCAGAGCTGATGTGGCCAGGTAGAGGGTCACCATGGGATCTTGATCCAGGGCCTCCAACTGGATGGCAGAGGCTGTCATCTTGAGGTCCTTCACACCAGCCTCAATTACCCCGTGAGCCCATGCTTCCTTCTCAGCCACGTAGGACAGGGTCAGATTTATACTGCTGGCAAACTCATGCACCGCATCCGACACAAAGCTCTTAGCGGCATCCAGAACCAGTAGCTTTGGCTTGGGGAAGAGCGAAAGCCATCGCTCCGAAAAGGACTTGATGAGGTCGGGGCCAGACTCAGTCTTCATTTCCAGGAAGTCGTACATGAAGAGAGGGCATACAACACGAAGCTTTGTAGCCAAGTCCATGAAGAGCAGAAACTTCACCTTCTTCTTTGAACCTGGCGGTATCCATTCGCCAGAGTCCACGCCAACAGCATGCCAGGCGGAATACATCTTTTGTGTTGATGCAGGAGGTACACTTCCTGAAGACGTTCCCCCACCTTTGAGACTGGCACACGCCGGGCAGTGAAAGTTCTTGGCCATCTCAATCTTCCACTCCTCATGTCCTGCTTCCTTGATGATGCGGGCCAGATTGCGGTTTGAGGGGTGACCGGCTGCCTTGTGGAACTTGGCAATTTGAGCTTCCCATCGCGCTCGTAGTTCAAGAGGTACTCCATCATCATCTTGAGCTAAGCCGGGCTCCTTGACCGTAGGATACAGATTCGCCTCAGTAGTCGCCTCCACGTGAATGTTTTTGAGTGGAAATCCAAGATCAAGGAGTTTACGTCGATCTCCCGCTGGTAGTTGATCAAGTAGCCTTGTCGTGTAGGCCGAAATGTAGACGCAGCTCCCAGTTCGCTTCTGAGTACCATGAAGTACTTCTGGACGAAACTCCACAAAGGAGTGCCAGGTGGGCCGCACATAGCCGTCTTGCAAGGATCCATCAGGAATCCTTCGCTTCGTGCTCGTTACGCCTGGTAGAGGTTGACCTTGGGTCCACAACTCACCACCGCTGTAGTTGCCAAGACCATGAACCACGTTCGTGGTCCCCTTCATGTTGTGATGGTCACGATGTGGAAGGGCGTGGCCGTTGAAGGTCAACATGAGACTCGACCAGCCGTGGTGAGGAAGATGATGGCGTAGATAGTGGTTTAAGTACAGCACCAACTCGGGATGTCGTAGACTTTGATTGGTCAGTCCACAGAAGGCGCCGTGGGAGTAACATCCAAATGCCAGCGTCTGTGGTGGTTGCGCAGACCATCTCTCGTTCTTGTTAGTGTGTCTGGCAGGCAGTTGAGCTTGTAGTTGTTGTAGAAGAGTTTCGCACGTCTCCATGTCAAAGGCCTGCTTCAATCGAGCATCCCGGGCCAGGCTTTCCAAAGAAACCTGTTCATGCTGCGCCATCTGAATTTCACCTTGGTAGACATCCGCGTAGTCGTGGTCGATTCCTGCGAACTCCACAACAGGAGGTTCATCAGCTTCTCCAAGCTCGAAGTTGTCGTTCGCGAGGTTCCCGTCGGGCTGCTGGAGTAGTCGTAGGTGTCGTTCCGGAACCATCTGGCTCTTCCAATGTCTTGTCCAGGCCTGAACCAGCTTCCAGGGGTAGTAGGATGTCCTGGCCGTTTCTTGTCCCTCGACGTGTGCGTGCACACCGTGGTTGCCGCAACAAACTTTGGCACGAAAGCTCCGGTGGAATACGGGGTTGTTGGTGCGAATCAACCACTTCTTTTTCAGGAAGGCAGAGTTGTCCTCAGTCTTCATTCCATACACGCAACCATCTATCCGACAATCCAGCCAGTCATGACCTCGCCGATGTAGTTGAACAGCAAGGTCCTCCAGTGGCTGTTGCTTCCAGCCATAACAAGGAAACGGCCATTCCCAGTAGATCTCTACATCTGGGTCCTCGTCCAACGTTGTGATGATAAAGTTCACAGCGTCCTTCAGCATCCGGCGTTCACGTCGCCGATAACCTTCGAGGCGCTCACGTTTCTCTGGGTCGTTGTAGTTGACGCTGCTCCAGCTGCACCACTTGGTGCAAGGAAGGCTGAACCACAGTCGTTGTGGTCGATGTACTTGCCGAAGAGCTCGTAGTTGATCCCAAGTGTCGTGGCGGTAGAGGTCGAAGCCATTGGCCAGGTTGATGCGGCGGGGTCGTAGGCCATGCTCTGCCGCTGCTTCACTGAGCCAGGAGTGAGGGCTGCAGGCCAACTCCCAAACACCATCACGACCTTCAAGATGCAGTCCAAGAAGTAACGAAGTCGTGGCAGTTGCCATCATAGCCGTCATTGCCATCACCTTTTTGCCCATGTACACGGGCGTGCTGTGCACGGGCTTGTAGGTGTTCACTGATGATCCTGGCCGGCTTCCATGGCCGCAATCAACTCCTCGTCGTCCACCATTCCCCAAGTCGTTGGGGTTTCCGGAGTGCTCGGATATCCCGCCGTCGTGGGTGGCACCGGAGTTGATGATGTCGCCTGGTTGCCCATGAGGTCGCCGATCGCCTTGCGCAGCACGTAGTCGGCCTTCACCTTCTCCATGGCGTAGTGGCAAATCTTGGCCGTAGGTCGCACTGCGCCCAATGCCGCCTCCAGTTCGTTCAGCATCACCTGAACCATCGGTGCATTCACAGTCTCGGTGCTTGAGGCTGGACTCCCCTTCCTGGGGGTATACAGCATGCGCAGGTTGCAGCACTGGCAATTGACCCACTGGCCGTGGTTGTTGCTCAGGGGAACTGCTGGGGTGTGTTGGCCGTAACAGGGCCATTGGGTTTTCTTCGTGCGAGGATCTCGGAGGTCCGCCTTCATGCGCCGTGTGGAGTCGAGAGATCGAGCTCGCTGTTTGGGGCGTGCCTTCGCTTTGTATGCCGCCTGGAGGATGGCGTCCGCCTCCGGATCCACGGTGTTGTCCACGGTCGTCGTAGAGGGCTTCGCTGCAGCATGGGCCGCGGGCGTCGCCATGAGAACTTGAAGAGGAAGTCGTCGGGAGGAGAGTGGCCACTGAGGAGCCACACATTTGAGCTGTGACAGCTGCCGGAGTCGAAGAAGAATGACCATGCTGATACAAGCGCCACATCCTTGCACGAGCACTGGCAATGGATTGCTCATCATGTACACGGTCACTGACATTCAAGTCTATCCAAGCAGTCCACAGCTCAAGCATCTGTTGTGACATGTCGACATCGTTGCCAAGAGGACACCGACGGACAAGAACATGAGCATTACCTTCCGTACAAACATTCCCTCGGGTCAAATGGTAAACGATGTCATAGACGTAGTGTCCCTTGGGGTTCACATCTAGCTGAAAGATCTCGGGGTTCTCCTCCTTGGTACACATAGCTAGTCCTGTTCCAAAGTCAATCAACAACCCTGTTCCTTGGCTGCCCAGGAAATCCATGCCAATCAACAACGGAACAAGAGTAGTTTTGTCGAAATTGGACTGGTAGTACTCCGCCGGGTTTGGTAGGGTGTACAGGGAAAAGGTTTGCAACTGACCGGAAACATGGCTGGACATATGAACACGACAGAGAGCTCGACCCCAACGCCCATTCCCGAACCGAAAGTATGGCCGCGCTGACTGGTCGAACTCGATCTTCGCAGACTTGTCCTTTGCAAGAACAGCTCCTATAAGCCCCTGCACCACAGCTTCAGGAGCTGCGGAGGCGGTTGCTCCGCAATCAAGCATTCCGGTCTGGACATTGCTAGCGCTCATGGACGAGGACTGCAGCTCGTAGCTCTCGCTCAGCTCGAGTCCTCCGACGAACATGTTGGAGGCATAGGCATTCACGGCACGGGAGACATCCTTTCCCTTGCCTTTGCCCTTGCCCTTGCCTTTCATCCATGCTTGTGCCTCCATCCACATCGAGCGCTTGCCCTTGCCCTTGCCCTTGGACTTGTTCTTCCCCTTGTTGAAGTAGAAGTCGTCGTAGTAGTCGGCGGCGTACGTAGAGTTCTTGCCGTATCCCTTTGGCCTGGGTCCACGACGATCAGGACAATCTCGTGCAAAGTGAGGGCCACCGCAAACGAAGCAGCGACCGGGTCCAACGCCCTTGCCTTGCATGACAGCGCCGAACCCTCGGTCCTTGCGGAGGGCCTGAGTGGCCCTTTGGGCCTCAGCCCAAGTCCGATTGGCCTCCGCGGCCAGACTCTCAGCCACCTGTTCCGCCTTCTGCGCCTCGTGGAGGCGGGACTTCGCCTCAGGATCATCCGGTTCCTGAGCTGCTGCCGCTGTGTAGGTCTCGTCCGCATAGTCATCGTAGTCTTGATACCACCAATCGTCCTCGTAGCCCGCATCCGTGTAGTAGAGGTCGTCGTGCCAACCATGCACAGCATCATCATCCTGGTCATCCCACCATCCATGCTGGTAGTAGGCTTCGTTGACATCCGAGTCCTGGAGGTAGTGGGCGTTGTAGCTCCCCGGGTGTCCGCCGTGACGGCCCAGAAGTTGGTCGTCCCATAAGCCTTGAAGGGCTGAAGAAATGACACTGTAGTCGAGGCTGTTCTTCGTTGTGCTCAGGATGTCGCGCTTCTCCTCATGGGATAACCCTGCCGCCTGCAGGAGGCGCCACCCCCTGAGCACATCGAGGATGAAGCTATCTGCAAGAGTCAGCTCATCGAGCGGCGTTGGCTTTTCAAGCTTCTTGTCATCAGGCACAGGCGACGGTTCATCAAGCACGCTGCCGCCGTCGCGATGATGACTCGGAGAAGATCCCGGAGCGGCCGACACCTTGGGTTCTCCACGGTCAGCTCCCGGAGAAGGTCCATCTTCGGGTGGATCGGCGGCGCCGGCAACATCGTCACGCTCGTCCTCTTCATACTCAGCCTCGTACCAGTCGCCATTGTCCCACCAACTGGACCAGCCGTAGTCCGCTTCCCAGTCGTAGTCGCCTTGATCCTCAGAGGAGGGCAAACCAAAGTCGCGGCTTTCTTGACTGACTCCAAGCTTGTCTTCGTGGAGCCTGATGATTGCCTCCACGAACTCCTCGTGCATGAGAGTCTCTCTGACCAGAAACGTCTGGATGGATTCTCCTTGGAGTCGTTTAAAGCCGAAATATTGCTGACATATAGCAGCTGCGTTGGGCAGCGACCGACGGACCAGCGGACTAGCCGCCAGTCGTTGAAGAAAGATCTTCACTCCATCGACGCTGTCGAACCCCATTTTGCTCCAGCTCATGGCTAGCAGTCTTGCGGGGCCTGAGAGGCGAGACAAAAGTCGGGATGCCACATATCGCCGTTTGTGTACCGGCGTTGATTGCATGTACCAGGAGACTTCGCGGGTGTAGCGCCGCCAAGTGCGGGCAGATCCGTCCCATCCGGGGACCGATGACGAATCCTTGCTGTCCGCCATGATGTCGCGAAGGTGAGGTAGTCGATGTCGTAGACGCAGAAGAGGAGGTAGTCGGAGTCGTAGACGCCGAGAAGAAAGTAGTCGACGTTGTAGACGCCGACCAAGAAATCTGGCAGTGATGTCGTAGTCACCACCAAAACCAAAAGAGACGCCTCAAGGCGTCAAAATGGTAGACTCTGTTGTCCACCCAGGAGAATCTCGGAGCAGTGCTGGTATTCCGTGATCCCTCAGGGAAGGTCCTCGCAACACTGCTCCGCTACCAATGCAGCGGATGCTGCAGGGTAGCTTGATTGGGCTCTGACCAAGATCACGGGCTGCTAGTTTCCAGTCACACACACAGCAAGCGCGCAGGGCACTTAATGTTTGCACGCGCACTGATGCGCGGTCCGTGGCTTCAAGTGGAATCTCGAGTGACACCTAAAAAGGGGCCCCTTGGTCTCCAACAGCTGCGAATGTACATGAGTTGCACGATCAGCTGAGACTACGATACAAACAGGCTTCACCGATTACGAATGTTGCAGATTCCCACACTTGGTCGCAAAATTCATTCCTCCAATCTTACATCGTAGATGCCCTGTTCATAAAATAGGAGCCTTAATAATTTTTAATTGGGCTTTGGGGCCCACTATGCTATAAGTACAACCAGGAAGCCCTGGGCTTAGGGGTTTAGGAGTTTAGGGATTTAAGGGCTTAGGGGTTTAGGGATTTACGGGTTGAGGGGTGTAGGGTCTAGGGATTGAGGGGTTTAGGGGTTCGGGGATTTAGGGTTTAGGGTTTACTTGGAGGTCCATGGGTAGTGAAAAGTGGGGGAAAAAGTCCCCCAATATGGATTATAATAAGAGTTACCCTACTTATAACCCTACTTATAACTACCCATGAACCTCCACATATGACCCCTGAAAGACCCCTAAAAGGACCCCCTTTTAGATCCCTTAAAGGAGCCCAAAAACTACCCATGAACCTCCAAGTAAACCCTAAACCCTAAATCCCCGAACCCCCAAACCCCTCAATCCCTAGACCCTAAACTCTAAACCCTTAAAGGAACCCCATAACCCTACTTATAACTACCCATGAACCTCCAAGTAGGGTTCCGAATCACCGCTCCTCGCTACTGCCACTGGCCACGGCCGCGGCACGCAGAGCCAAGGAAGCTTCCTGCCATCTGAATCTGTCCACCGGGTTTAGGGTTTAGGGTTTAGGGTTTAGGGTTTAGGGTTTAGGGTTGTGATTGAAGGGGAAGGGGATTCGGGATTTTTGGCTTGAGGGGATGGGACATATTCCACGCAACAGGGCTTGCCTCCCGAACGAAAAAGGGAGTTTGATCCGGGATTTTGGAGTTAAGCTCTTATGTAGAGCTCTGAAAGCTCCTGTGTCGTCAGCACCAATCATGTTCGGCACCTATGCAGAATGAATGCTCCCATCACGCCCCAGGCAATTGGCTTGTGACGCGTGGATAAAGCCAAGCAGGAGAGAAGACGTTTCCAATGGCCCCTGCCTGATCCTGCTTGAAGGCAGCCGGACGGGTGATACCTGTCTCTGGCAGCACGGAGTCATGCCATCAAGCCCGGCACACACACACACACCAACTTCTGTGTGTATATGCCTATGTACGTGTGTATCTGTATATGCATACATATCCACATGCAGCTTGCATGCATCGAAAGCTCAGCGAGCATGTGTACTGAATGCTGAGGCTCTCATGTTTTCTCCGGCCCTATACCCTAAACCCTAAACCCCTAAACCCCTAAACCCCTAAACCCCTAAACCCCAAACCCCAAACCCCAAACCCCAAACCCCAAAACCCTAAGCGGCCTGCGGCGGTGGCCAGCTCACAGAGAGCTGGGCGCAGCTGCGCCGCACCGGGAAGGCCGGCCTCCAGGGGCGTCTCTTCAAGTTCCGTGGCTCCGAGGTCCGAAGCAATAGCTTTTGGCCGGCTTGGGGTTTTCTATGGGTGTAGGGTTTGGGGTTTAGGGTTTAGGGATTTTTGGTTGAGGGATTTAGGGTTAAGGGGTTTAGGGGTTTAGGGTCTAGGGTGTTCTAGGCCTCCGGCTGTAGCCAGCTTACAAGCGTAGCAAAGGCACTCAGCGTCGCTCTGTACGCGCATGGAAGAATCGACTAAGAGTCTGTTGGAGCTTCCGTTCGTCGGTTGCATGTCCGTACACGGCCACAAATTGGCAAGAACCCGTCGGCTGCAAACCGAGCCGGATTCACTTCGGAGCTTCAGTGTTTCAGTGATTGCCGGGGTCAAGTGCAACGAGCCAGTTCTTGGCAATTCTTGTCCTAAGGCACTTCTTATTTCAGGTCCAAAGAAAGCCTGTTCAACAATGTTGCCACTACTACACGCGGAAAGAATTGCTGATGATCTTGCGTCCTGTCAGGGATGCTTTCCCTTAAACCTAGGCCCAAAAACAAGCAATCCCCACCCACCACAGCACCTCCGGGCCACCCCGAGATACGGAAATCAAGACTGGCCGACTTTGGGTCTCTTCCTTCCTCGCCAGAGGCCCAAACCGAGCAAACTAATCTAGGGGCCTTAATAACTAGAACAGGGTCTTGGACCCCTTTGTATAATTTACTTGCTTACAATCAGGAACCCTAAGGAATGATATTGGTAATTATCTGGGCTTCTATATTATCGGGCCCGAAGGACACATGGGATACCTCGATTCCTGCCATGGTTGTGACTATCTTGATGCAGGGTGGCTGGTCGTTGTCCCAGATTGCTCAGCTTGCTGCAAATTTATGACCTGAGGCTTTGCGGACTTGAAAGTGTCGTTGAAAGCCCACGGGCGACCTGATCCAGGATGCGCCAGGATGCTGCCAGCAGCTGAGAGGCCAATTGGCAACGGGTCTCGGTGGTGGTCTCTTCATCATCGCCTCGGGCTCGAGGATCTAAGGACTAAGGTTTGCCGCCCGTGCACTTCTCTCCTCTACCAGGGCCCTTCACGAAAGAACTGACGAGGCTCTGTGTTTGGCTGAATTCATTCTACCCAACGTTCTCCGAATGTTGCCTGCCTGAGACTTAGGACAGATGGGTTACGACAAAAGCGCAAAACTCGCACCTGCAGTATCTTTGATTCCGATCCGACTAACACATACCGAATGGGCCATGTTTGAAGCCCGGCTGAAGCCTCACCACAGAACCCCTAAACCCCAAACCAAAAAACTAAAAACCCTAAACCCTAAAACCCTAGACCGTAGACCCTATAAGCCCCCAAACCCTAAACCCCAGTGCGGTTGCGCCTTGCACAGACTTGTCCGATGCGCAGGCAGCAGCGCAGGGCAGCAGCGCCGAAAGCGCCGCAGTGGCCAGGATAAGCGTCTTGGCCTCTTGGCTTTGTAGGGGTTTAGGGGTTATATAGGGGTTTATGGTTGAGGGTTTAGGGTTTAAGGGTTGAGGATTGAGCGGTTTGGGGTGCAGGGTTTTAGGGTTTAGGGAGTCGGTCAGCAAGAGCTTCCAACTTAAGCTTCGTGGCTCATGATTTTTGGAGCTGACAGCTCATGGATCAGAGGTGGAAGAATCGGTTTGCTGGCCAGCGGCTTCTGGCTGCAGGGCTTCATGCAACTCAACAGCATGAGACCCCAGATCATGCTATGCTTGTGGACTGGCTTTTAGGGCAGTTTAGGGTTTGGGGTATCGGACCGGAGATTCGCCTTTTGCAGTGAACCCAAGGCACTTCGACCTGAAAGGGCGTGCATATATATATATATATATATATACATATACATATACATATACATATACATATACATATACATATATATATATATATATATATTTTTTATTTATTTATT